GGAGGCAGGCGATTTTGTGGGGGGCTTTGCTGATGTGGGGGGAAGGTTGTTTGTTGGTGATGGGTGAGCGAATATTGGTCGAGGAGGGTCGGGTGGAGGCCGTGTGTTGTTAGATTAGATAGGGACTGGATGAATGAGAGGGGGTGCTATGGGAGGGGTTGGGTTTGGTAAGAACGGGATCCGACTCGAATGCTTGATTACTGTTTGCCTGTTTCTTCTTGTATCGACTCGAAAATCCACCCTCTGAGCCCGATAGATTTTCTTTCCTATTGAATGAAGGGAGTATTGTTTCGCGACCAATACATCACTATTCTGCAGCCCTGCCGTGTCGAGTCGAAGCAGAAGGTCATGTGTGTAGCTTGTTTGTCTTCGGCCCTCCCTGGAAGCTCACTTGACCTTTGTTGGAGACGCTCTCTCTTCCGTCGAACTTTTGTCTCTATCGCATCCTTCACGCTTGATCCAGTTGGGTTGAGGTTTCGTTTCTGCTTGTTCTTACCTTAAAATAGGAGGGGAACCAAACCGATTTTTCCGAAAGGCGATGATGAAGAGGTTTTGTCCTTCATTCGTTTCTTCTAGTATCCCGCTTTGCTCGTCGGTTTCCTCTTGGTGGTCTCCTTTCTCCTTTGATATATTTCCTTTCCTGTCTCTCCCTCTCCTCCTCTCTCCTCGGTACGTCTTGTCCTTTTCCTTTCTTATCTCCACTATTCCCTCCGCTCTTCTCCTCCTTGATGAGGTACTTCTCCCTTTCCTCAATTCTCTTTCCTTTCTCGTTGCTTCTCTCCTTTCCTCCTTCGGGGACACTTCTCCTTTTTTGCTCATTGCTCCCCATCACTTCTCTTCCTCTCCCCGTCTTTACCCGTCTTGCTTGTCTCTTGCTGTGAATAGCCACGCCCGCAGGCGTGGCAAGGAGCAGCGTGGTCTCGCCTTTGGTTTCCCGCCCTTCGTTTTCCAGTTCGAAAAAGCAGGTGGCGCGCGCGTGGAAGACGCGCGCGGAGCAAAGTTTCGCGCCGGTTGGAGTCAGTTCGCGGGGGTGCGGAGCCGGAGGTTAGCGCAGAGAATTAGCGCTTACCGGTCGGCGCTAACGCCGGAACTCAACTTCTTCTCGGACGTGTAGCCATACGTTCACTGGGAAGGCATTGTCAAGAAATAGCGCAGAGAATCAGCGCTTACCGGTCGGCTAATACCGGTCGGCGCTAACGCCGGAACTCAACTTCTTCTCGGACCGCAGCATGTATCTGACCGGCACGTAATTTTCTAGAAATAGTTGTGTCCGGCGAGTTCCCTACTATACCGAATCAAGTGGCATGTCTACAACATTCACACAGATTGTCTACATAGTCTAGATGCACCCTGAATGGTTCACTTACAGCAGCATTAGTTAGAACTGGCTATGGTAGCATACAACAGTCCTACACTAATCTGTCTGTGAGGTTAGCAGTCCGTCAACCAACTAATCAAAGGTACAAAAAGACAATTTAGCAGATGTATGATTGATGGGTATGGTTGTGTA